GCTGTGTGCCCTGAAGCCCTTCAAGAGCTGGACGTTGTACTGCACTGGGAAGGCCTCGCGGGACATGATGTTCCAGGTGCTGGCACTTGAAAACCCGGGGGTGAGAGTTCTCAGCTATGCCCCAGGGCATCTGGACACGGAAATGCAGCAGCTGGCCCGCACAAAGTCCGCAGACCCGGAAATGCGCGAGCAGTTCCTCCGCATGAAGCAGAGCGGGCAGCTGCTGGACTGCAGCGTGTCCGCCCAGAAGCTAGTGACTCTGCTGCTGCAGGACACGTTCGCCTCTGGGGCACACATAGACTTCTATGAGCTCTAACCCGCCAGCTGCTGCTTCCCCCGACCCCGGCGTCTGCTTCTGCAACTGAGCTACATATAAAATACCCTCGGCTTTCAGAAGGGAAACCAACTACTGGACTCTGACTCTCATTTCAAATACACAGCTTAATTTTGAAGTACGTTAGTCGTGATCTTAAGACTTTCTGCATTTTTTGACTGCAAATGGGAGTATGTGACCCTTAGATTGTCTGTGACCTGGTGTCCATTTGCTGCAGCTGCTCTTGGGTAATACAAAGCTTTCTAGCGTAACGTGAACAAAACCAAACATCATGGGCCATATTCCCAGTTACTCATTTCTGCACGTGGGGCAGGAGGAGAGTCGGGGAAGGAGGGGGGGGATGTGTGGAAGGTGACCTTTGCATGCTCAGTATTCTACGACTGTTCAAGGCCCTGTCTGGTCCCCAGCGTAAATCTGAGCAACTTTCTCAGCCTCTGGATGCTGGAAAGCAGAGAATAGTATAGTCCAGTGCACTCTTGTTGTGCACCCTCTCTGCCCTGACACAGTGCCTACACCAGGGACTGGGACGGGACTAGCAAATAACCCTAATGCCAGTTCTACAATGGCTGTTTCCAGGATTTCTGCACGCTTGCCCCCAATTCTTTTCCTGGTCCATACAGCAATGAATTGGGATTTATGGACACTGCTGATTTGATACACGTTACCTTGTGAAAGCAGTGCAGTTACTGCTATTGGAAGCAATAATCTTTACATTATTACATGATAACATGTGTTAATGCTACTGCATTTATCTCTTGATAAGTCATTTAGCCCTGTGAGTCATTCATTTGGAAACAGCAGGACTTAAGTGGGACAAACATACACTTTGGCATACTGTTTCTGTAGCATTGTATGATAAAGACAGCATTAAAAGGTCCAGCCTCAGCGTGAAATAGAGCAACCTTACCACTGCTGTACTATATGCCTTCCAGATTTGAACACCTCAAAATTCAGGAGTGCTCAAGCTCAGTTTGGGCAGCTGTTACTTCATTTCTCCCAAATCAAATATACTGATCCACTGTAACTTGCTGTAGAAAAAGTAGAATAAATTGAGCAAGAAATGCTTCCCAATGGTTATTAGGACTGGAATTGCTATTTTCAACAGCCATTGCTTATTTTTTTGTTTGTTTGTTTAAAAGGAATACAGTGATATTGCATTGGCAAATTCCCCATAGAAAGAAAGAGTGGAACAAAAGAATAATAAAGGCACCTCAACTTTTCCTCATTTATGTAGGACAGTCTTATAATATGCATCCAGATATCCTCCAATCACACAAGCTGAAAATTGTTCCACTTTACTGCAGTTCTGTAACCATACTGCAGTTCTGTAACC